ATAAAATCTCTGCTTGTTTAAACAAAATACGGATTCTATACTTTAACGTTAAATATAGCGATCTTTTAGAAGTGCTTTTATATATACATGAAAAGAGAAAAAGATATCTCAAAGGAAGGACGGAGTAGCTATCGAAGGTGCGAAATGATGCTTGAAATAATATCACGGTATTTTCTTTCAATCCGATCGACCAATTCGAGGTATCTACAGATAGATACTCGGCTTTGGAGAGGGATTCAAGGACCGATCCTTGGTTACCTGAATCAACGAGTAGCGCAGATAAGAGCGCGCGCGCGTGCGCGCTAACTCATTAATTTCCGTCCATCCATCCATCGATTGCGAATTGAAAAACACCACTTGATAACGAGATGATAATCCCGTTATTACAACAAAAGCCTCGTAATGATTATCGTCTCGTCCGTCGGCCGTCGTATCAACGGTGATCCGTTAATGCTCGACGAGTGGCATTTGTAAATTTTCTAGTTGTTATTACGCGGCCCATTGTCATTAATATTTCGTTATTAATTACGTGCGCGCGCGTATAATTGGCAATGCGGCATTGATTAACCCTGGGTAACATTGTGCGTATTTCTTGCACGAAAATCTGATTAGCCTGATCTCGTCGTGAGAGCCGACCCTTCCCCTCCCCTGCCCCCGTGGCACATCACTTATTATTTTTGACACCGATTTCCGGCCGAACGAGGATGAAAAATCATCGGACCGAAGCCGAAACGGACGTACGGCTAGAACCAATTAAAAGTTCGCGGCGTCGGCAGCCAATTACGTACATTGGCGTGGAACGACTGTAACTTCGATAAAGTCGAGTGGTCGCCAGGCATAATTTTCTCATCCGCGAATTCTCTCACATACCTAATATGTTAACTTTTTGAATCGCTAATGTCGCGCGACATCATTTCGTATGTAACTGATTTCAGAAAAAGAAAATGATGAAAGTTGGATTAAGTAAAAAAATTGTTAATTATTTATTGGCGAAGCAAAGTTTCCTTTTGTACAATTTCATAAAAAAAAATTCTTTTATTATTTAAAAGTTTTTATCTTCTTTTATGAAATTATAACACACGATAACACACATCATATAAATATTTTGAGAAACTCAAAAATTCCAAATCGTTTGAAAGTGACACGAGATTCACGTCATGTTCGCGTTCTCGTCATCGGTAGATAAAAACCTCGCGATATACAGAGCTTACAAGGTGTGAGAAAATTGTGCAGCACTTAAGGGATTATCCGTTAGCCGCGTGCGAGGATACGAGTGACTCGGATTATCGGGAAATCGCATCGGGTTCGCTGTCATAAAATAAGCGTCAGCGGATTGAATACAAACGAGAGATTTGTATAACGATCAGGCATAAGCGCTGACAGCGTGCGGCGCCTTTGGCCGCAATACCGCAATATGGCCCGCGAATTTGACACGCTCGCACCTTGTGACTCGCGGGTGGTTGTTGCGCTAGTTTGTGTTTCACGCCTCGCGCGTTTCGAACCCTCCTGCTTCTCCTCCCCCTCCATTTCCCCTCCCCATCCCGCTGTCCCCCGTCAGAATGTATAAGCGCGCGTATGAGCGCGGTCGATGCGAAGTTACGGACGATTCGCACGCCCCTGCGAATGGGGAGGTTTGATAACGCAACGAGTTGGTGTACGCCTAAACAGCCCTGCCCGACGAGCAACACCGCGATTGTTAAATTATTATCATAACTCGCAACCAGAAATCAGTCAGAGAGAAACCGGAATATCGCGATATTCCTGTATAATTATCATTTCGTGAAGATTCAAAGGTATTTTTGCGACAAATAATTACTAAGCATCCTTTCTTTTCTCGTTCATTCCGCTGCACATTTCGACGATGAGAAATACTCTTGCGCATCGGAGATTTTAAAGCTTGCGCGATATTGAGAGAGAATAATACGCGATCGATCGATTAACTCCGTCGCATAAAATTTACGTACGAAAACGGAGAAACGGACAACGAGAGGTTTCCGCGCGAAAAAGCCGGCGCGGAGACGAGAATTGCGGATTCCTGTTAGGTTCTCCCATTCATTCATTTATCACCTGGTCGACGACGTAATAGATCGCGAGCCGCCGCCGCGGTATTTTACCGCGTGCCTGATAACAGTGCTTTCTTCCCTCTTGAATTTGAACGTAAAGTTTCACTATCCTCTTCGATATGACGAACTCGAACAATATTGATTCTTCTGCTCTTATACGGCCGCGAGCGCCGTTAACGACGTTGTCTGCGAGCCATGAAAGCCGCTCCACCGCGTCAAATGTCGATCTAATTCGAAATTATAAATCAAATTTTCCGAGAGAAATTATCTTTAATGTATATAGAGATACTCATAATTCAGAATTCCATCAATGCACCCCGTAATTTACCTACTCCGGCGAATTAATAGATATAATTCTCTTTCTATTTCTTTCTATTATCTGCGATACTTAGGGCCGGTTGTTTCAACCTATTAGTAAACTAACTAATAGTTAAATTATACAGATAATGTGTCTTTGTTTTTCTTTCAAATTAAAGAAGGATAGACGTATGATTTAACTAGCTATTAATTAGCTTGCCAATAGGTTGGAACAACCGGCCCTTAAACTTTAAAATCTGATAGTAAAAAGAAAATTACGAAAAATGTTTATCTTTCCATTGCCGTTCGACAAGCATCGTTCAGTTAATCAATTAATCAATACACTGACACTAATTCCGTAATAATATCAATTGGCGGAAACTATAAAAAGGCGCGATATATCCGTCATTGATATGCACGCTCGTTTCCCATCTCCACGCCCCTCAACCGGGCCGATTAATTGGAACACATTGTACCTGGGAATCACAGGTGTAATGAAAGATAATCGTTCCCGTCTGCTCCGGCTTCCGTCGAAGTTACATTACCGCCGACACGAAACGCTCCGATTCCCCATTAAAAGTATCGCAATCGAGCGGGAAAATAGCGCCGTTTGCTCGTAACGCAAGATGGATGCGCATTTCGGTCGAACGAAGCAGATTTAATGTACCGGTTCGATTTCTCGAATTGGATCAATCCTAGCATCACATAATTCCCGGCGACCGGCAATGGAAAAAAACGCGTTGCACGTGCGACAGGCTGTCAATCGATTTTAGATCTTGCCGACTGATTGTTCATTCGGCTAGCTAACTTTTTCAACCGGTACATAATAAAAAAAAAAGGAAAAAATTGCATGCCAGATGCATGAATATTCGGCAATTGCCGATGCCTCCGCCTCTTCGTATACGAAATAAATCGACTTCGGTCGTGGTAAATTTTGCAGCGGACGGTTCTCTAAAAATTTGTAACTTTCATATTGTTTAACAATTTCTCGACGCAATAATGTAGGGACGTCCCTAATAATATCGATATCGAATATTCTGTCGCTATTTAGGAATTATTTTGATTAACAGAATCCTTTGACTATATGAATATAAATTCAATAAAATCGATTTAAAATATGGTACATTTTTTTGCGGCGAGAAAAAAAATCAGAGAATATAACGAAACGCGTTAAATTCGCGCGAGGACATTTAACGTGATAGAATCCTTTTCGGAATTTGATGAATTCGATGAATTTCGACTCGAATATAGACGAGCGTGCACGGCATTGAGCCGACGGACGCGATGGTGCAAAACGATACTACACCGGGATACCGCATTTTTAGAACAGCCGAAGGAACCGGGTATCACGGTTACGAGATGTGAATATACCGGCCATCACGAGATACCGATATGGAACGTATAGTGGATGGGATTTCCTTAGTCCGGCAAAATCCTTCCACTGCCTTCCACCTACGGTAGCAAAATGCGCGCGGAAGCGATGATAGTTTTTCTATCCGCCGTTTTTATGGAGCAACGCATTTTTCGGAACGTCTCCGTTTAAATTTCAATTTCGTTTAATATCATCCGGGATTGATACTTTCGTGTTATCTATTTGATACCTTCACAAATCAGGTTCACAATATATATTCCATTGTGATTATTCTCAAGTTATTTAACAATAACGCGTTTCAAAGAGAATTATTTAAAATTCATCGGCTGATCTATATTCCGTGACATCCCTAAATTTTATTAACGCTGAGAGAGAGCATCACACAGATTGTTCCAGCGATCGGCTGCCGTTTAAGCGTTGTTGAACAAATGATGGATCGTTTAATCGCGTAAGTTTCGTGACCGTTCTGATGTTTAACAACGTCATTCGGAAGAACGATCGCGTCCTATAATCACCCAGCCCGGATTAACGACGGTGTGACTGCGGCCTGCATTAGAAGTCGATCTGTGCCACGTCAGGGCACCATCTCATCTCGCGTCACGGCACCCGCTTGGCGTTTTCGTTTTTGCGAAGCGTATTTTGCGACGACGTCGACCTGGCAACGCCTCAAGTATCGCAAGAATTCACCCGGCAGTTTTAGCGTTGACTCCGGCGCGCGACTTTACGGACGATACGCGTCACGAATCACATATTCGACGCACGGCACCGCCGTGGAAAGCAGACTCTGAAATTTATCTTTCGCTGTCGGACACTTGGCGCGGTCCACCTGCGCCCGAGATTACGTCAAACAGTCTTAGCAGTGTTCTATACTTGCCGAACATTTCGCGGTTAATTACTTGAGCCTAGAGAAATGATGCGGGAAATTTGTTATAATTATTTCCGACCCATTAACTCTCTCTCTCTCTCTATCTCTCTGATTCGATATAATTATAAATTAATCATCAATTTCCATGCAGCGTCCATCTAGCGTTTTGTACACATATATATTGTGACAAATTACGATTTGCAATTTGAAAAGCACGCGCCGCTTTTTCCAGAGGCATTTTGATTATTACGGTGCAGCGGTACAGTCTACCGTCGCCGAGACCAGTCCGCGTATTTTTATCCGAGTGCCTGTTTCCCTCGGTAATAATCTCGCCGGGGTTGCATTTGTTATTTCTTCGGCTTTGTTGCGCGCTTGCAACGGCGCGCGGTTTGTTTTCACTCACCTCAGTCTGCCGTGCTCCGTGTGCGGCGATTCCTCTGGCGATTTGTAACTGTTTCCGGTCTGCAACAAAGAATGAGACACGTAATGAAGACCCCGATTCTCGCGGTCTATGGCAGGAGCAAAAGAATCTTGCAAATTTTATCCGCGTATTCTCTTACACAATAACCGCGGACTGGAACGTCAGTGCGTCAGCGCAAAAAAAAAAAGATTCGTTTAAACGAACCGAAAGGAGATTCCACGTAAAATATATTGTGCTATCATAAAGACAGAATGAAAAGAAATAGTACATAAACAATTAAAAATATTCAAATTTTTTTTGCAGTTTTTCCATATTTCGAATAAAGAGTAATAAAATTATCGTTAAAATAATAGAAGGAACAGTGCCTCTGAAATCAACCCCTTAGAGCCTTAGAGCCTTAGAGCAAGTCTATGCTCAGACAACTGGTGACACTTGAGAGATTAACCCGGCTCAACCGGGCCGATCGTCATTCGTCGTGTCGACGTCGCAGGATCCTCGGGTGCCCGGGTGTCGTCCCATTGTATTTGTTACATAGCCGTAAATGCGCGACGCCTAATTCTGTCAGAATGACGACATTCGGGCGTCAAATTTGTCGTCGTCGTTCGCAAAATAATATTCTTGAAAACAAAACTCCCTTCCTGTGAACACGTGCGCCGACCGTTCATAAATCGGTCGTGTGAAACAACGCCTAGTTATGACGACGACGACGAGGGCGGCGATGGCGATACTGGAGCATAGGTAGCGCGAATTAGTTCGCGAGCAACATATTGCGAGAGCGTGTAATAACTCGGACAACAAATGGAATCCAAAAGGGATTTCACGAAAACGCATTGCGCGGCGAGGTAATTAGAATTTATGTCGATTAAAACGCAGAGGGTTGGAGAAAAAGGACACATCGGCACGAAAGACGGAGAAAGAGCGGAGGGGCAACTTACCGCCGCGAGGTGATAGCAATATATTTTCATCGAGCAATTCGCGTCATAAATTCCTTCATTACGCTCAGATAGTTCACGGATGCCCCCTCGGGCTATCGTCCCGCTCGCCGGAAAGCAAACATTAAAGCGCAGGAGCGGCTGTGCGTTATCGATGATGCAATTACGTTTCAGATGGAGCGGGCGCCGTCCATATCATCGATCGTTATCGGCGCGTTACCTTTTATCAAGGCGAGAAAGATCGAACAACAAAGTCTCTTTCTCGCCTCGTGCGATCGCGTTCGGAAAATCGCGCGCTTTTCTCGCGCCGGTCGAGTTTCTCCTTTTTTTTTTGCGTTTCCTTGGTTTTCCTTTCGTCGGACAGTTAGTCACGGAACTCGATGTGAACGGGAAATGTTATTCCCGCGTAAATTGTAAACGCGGTTATACCGCGACAATCGAATTACCAGTTATGGAAATTCGTACACGTTTGGAAACAATGGTCATTATAAATACCAGGCCGTTGCGGCGCGCGATGGAACCGCGTATCGTAGATGATCATGGTACGAACAATAATGATTATTTCATTTCAATCAACCTGCGGAAATTGAACAGTTCTGGAACCAGAACGAAAGGACGCTCCCCATGGCTGGCCCGTCCGCTCGTTACGCCGCCACTCGATGAACGTCGATTTAAAACTACGTCTAATTATACATGTCGTGTATATATATGCATATATATTGCGGTATGCGCTATATATCTATTAGGTGAGTTAACGAAGTTGGAAACCAGTTTGATCGATCGGTTAAAGTAAATGATTGTCGAGCGCGTTTGACTGCACGATCCTCTATATGGATGATTTGACCGCGCCGATTATATCGCAACAATCGTGAGCTTTGACATCTGTTGCGGGGCGATATCATAACGTTACGAGATATTAATCGGCGGAACAATCGGACGTAGACGCGCCGCGATTAACACTAAACCTTTCGTTTATACATTCAGGAATTTACTCCGCGAAAGATCGAAGCATTAATTAGCTTCTCTGAATGAATTAGGGGGTTTAAGTTCTTCATTTTCAATAAATGAGTTATTGCTCCTGAATAATTTAGCGTATATCGTTCTCTCCGAAACGGCCAATTCAATCGCTCCTCCGACCACAATCGTCACGCTGCGATTAATCGCGCTGCTCTTATCGGCTTATCATTCGTTCGCGACTTACCTACCGCGCGAACATTTATCTCGTAATGCAGCCCCGAGTAGCGACCGTCTGCTCCTCGTAAGTCTCATCCCGTCCACAATCTAAGATCAGCACTCAGTCACCGTACTCTCACCGTCGCTATTCTCCGTCGCCGTGTCGCGCAATCCGCACCGAATTGAATTCTTCGTTCCATCCATCCGGGGACAGTCAATTTGTCCTTATTTTCTACCGCTTCTCCGACTTTCACTCCGCTCGAGTTAAGTGTTTTTTTTTCCTTTCTCTTTCCCCTTTTCGCCCTTCTCTCTACCTTACGCGCGCTCCGGAAGCCACCCCTTGGCGAAAGACGCGACGCGACTTTCACTCGATTGTGCCTTGGCCAAGTTGTGCTTGGCCCGAGCGAGTAGCTCTTGGCAAGGGAATCACTATCATCCGTTCCCCCCTCCGAGAGGGAAGTCTGAGACGAGAATGAAGAACAAGAAGAAGACGAGAACGAGGTCTCTCCTTCTCGTTTCTCTCCCTCTTCCTCTATCTCGCCATCTATCCGTCTCCTTTCCCTCCTCCTGGCTTCTGCCGGGGACCGAGCACCGAGCAGGCGGAAGGAGGACGAAGAATGGGAATGCGAGGAGGAAAACATCATCCACCGGGGTCTAGTGCCTCCGTACCGAAATACACTGGTCCGTAGGTACGTATCTATAGTTTACTTGGGCGACGCGACGGAGAGAGAGCGAAAGAGTGGGACGCGGGGGTCGATGCGGGGCGAAAGGGGTTGAGACGACTCCGGGTTAAAGTGGCGTCGCGTGTACAACCGCACCGGCGGCGGAATATACGGCACTGCGACAGAGCGGACGGAGCGTTCCGCTCCACGCTGTAAACTGTCCTTCCGCTCCGTTCTGTCTCATCTATCCGTCCCGCAGCCGCGTCGCTATTTTTCCTCCGACTTCCGAGGGATTACGCACTCCTGCTCTCTCACGGTCCATCTCCTTTGTCCCCGCCGAGTGCCGCGGATTCATCCGCGATTATGCAGTGCGTCAAGCGTCAAAGAGCATCAAGTCGCTTCCCGTTTCTGCTTTAACGTTTAAAAGAGACTCTTTTCTATTGTGTACGTAATGGAAAATGCGCAGTTTTTATTTTCACCATCCATTATCCATGCACTATTATAAAACATCCGAACTTGCATGGTGAAGAAAATATCTATTATTCGGAAAAAGCTGAAATTCCAAAAAACACCAGGAATATTTTTCTGTCTAGAAAAACCCGAGAATTTTTGTCAAAGATTTCCTCAAAGATTTTTGTCGAAATTGTCTCTGAGAACATTTTATTCTTATTTTGAAAATATCAAAGTGATAAGTTTTGTTTAAGATTTTTAGATAAAGCTTGTTAAAATTTCTAAATAATTTTTATTTTATTTGTTTTAAATAAATTTTATTTAATGTTTAAGTGACAGTTATTGTATAATATAATTCTCATAAAACATTTTATAAGAGATCTCGTAAGTAACTTTTTAAATTTGATATTTAAAACGAGTTAGTTCTTAATTTTCTTTCTTTAATTCTACGAATATAAAGAAGACAGAATTTAGAATTATATATATGTACAAATTTATTTAAAAATTTTAATTCCATTTTAATATCCTAATTTTGCCTGAAAATTTAAACAAAAATAATTAAAAAGATCTTGCTCGTGTTTTTTCCCCATTGTTAAACAAAAATGCTAAGAAAGTTCTCAAAGAATTTTTGTCCAAATTTTAAGTAGATACCTTTATTAGAAAAAATTGTGTCTTAAAAAAAATAAATGGTATTAACATTTTTATTATCTCATACTTATTATATTTTCAAGTAATCGCGAAATGTACATATGTAGAGCTGATTATCAACTGTGCAAACACAATGTACATAAGAAGGGAAGAAAATTCCGCGGCGGAGAACCAACACACAGCACGTAGCTTCATCGTCTTTAACGCGTGTCTGAGGAGAAATTCCCATGAGAGAACAAGACGGGCGACCATCGCGAATAAATATTTGTACAACGTTGTACGTGCTAGGTGTAGATTTTCGGAGGTAGAGGACCGAACGGGGCGAATCCCTGTAGTCGTCCCTGCAGCCGCGAATTGTCAGCAGCGGACTGCGCACTCCATACAGAGCTGATATGCGGTTGTAAGCGCGGACTTAGGATCGATGGTGGCATCAGCCTAATCACCCGGAAGTGTTGCCGATGTCCGTCGTTAATCCGATCGCAGATGTTTCATTCCAGCCGATTCTCTCACCGACCATTTCTCTCTCTGTCTCCCTCTCTCTCTCTCTCTCTCCCTTGCTTCTTCCATCTCTCTCTTTCTCTTTCTCTTTACCTCTTTCTGTCTCTGTCTGTTTCTCCTCCCGCATCTCGACTGACGCAGGCTCGACGAACGGCCGCGGCCGCTCGTGTGCCCGTTCGCGGTGTTTGTTTGCGGCCGCGTTAGCGGATTCTAATCGCGGTTACTCCGTTCGCGCCCTAAATCTGCCACCGCCGCCAAACCGAGTACTTAAATCGAGTGAAACGTACCCGTTGTACATACAGTGCATTTAGGTTAAAGCACCTATTTTCAATTAGGCGCCCCCGGGCCGCTTAGGCCGATATATCTCGTCCGCTTCGGCGGTTCCGAGTCGTGAAACTGGCACGGTAAACGGAAATCTCCCGTTGATTAATAGCGCGTGCGACTTTTCGACGATTTATCTTGTCGTCTCTTAAAGTCGGCGCGTTTTAATAAAACGGAGACCTTGCAGGAATTCGAACAAATGTTAATAGCTTGATTAATACCTTCACATTTTTAGATGCGTTCGGTATCGGTAGTACTAATCGATTGAGGAACGACTCTTACGTTAAAATTTCGCCGACTGTAAACGTAGATTAAAATTGCAAAACACATTTTGCACCTTTTGTAACCGCTCAAAAT